CTATTGTGGCCAAGCTGACATCATCAATGCTCTCAAAGTTGACATTATCGGCAATGACTTTGTCTCTGATCTCCCGGAGTCTGATGAGGTTGTTCTCACGAACCATATCCACAATGAGGGTTTCTTGTGCCGCTGTAAATATGGCAACCCTCCCACCTCTATGTGGCATTCTTTCAACTCTAAAGAAAGAAACATGTGTTGTCAATTGACATGTTTTGCAATAACAACTGATTTGAAACCAATAGACTACTTTCACAGGCTTGTAAAACTGTATTGTGACAAAGACAGCAATAGAGTACAATACCTGTTGTGTTGTCTGAATGCCCTGATAATGGTGGCCACGGTGAACCTACTCAGGTTTGGACGGACTCTTAGTCCTGCTTCAGCCATTGTCATGCCATGGACAATGACATGGTCAATCACTGTTGCTCACATCTCGTCCGTAATGATGGTGCGAGGTTGTCTTGCTCTCCCTCCTGGACCTTCTCCTCTCCCTTGTTGGCCTCTTCCTCGTTGGCCTGCTCCTCTTGTTCCATGGCCAGCTCTTCTGCCTCCTCTGACTCGAATTCCTCTTCCCCTGACTCTGCCTTCATCCATTGTGTTTGTTTGGAATCTTCAGCAAACTGTGCACTCTGAACTTGCTTTATACTTGTGGTCACAGCATTAGCAACAAGTGTGTTCAAATATTGCTGACTGTGGCAAGCATTTTGCATCACATGAGTTTTCATTTGAGAATATGAGCAGAGTTCTTTTGCAACTTGTGTTTTAGCAAGGAAAAATGTGTTTAGATTTATGAGAACGGAGGATTGTGTTTTGTGAATTGTGTCTTCATGTGAAATGTGTTTATGATATTGGAAAATGATGGCTAGATTTAGTAAATGTGTTTAGACAACTGGTCATTTGGTTTAGAGGATTGGCTTTTGTGTTTTAGCATTTGAGAAAAACTGTAATAAAATTTCTGTTTGGAACAACGTCTCTCCGCTCTTGCGGTAAACAAACCAGCGTGCCTTGGCCCGGGGGCTAGGGCGACTGAACTTTCTCCAGGTGTAATACCTGGGGTGGCGTAGTCGAGCTGACTTGTGGCTATTAGTACCATTGTTTGGTACCATCCGGCAGTATTCCATCACCACTCGCTACATCCAGCTTTAAAAAGCAGGTTATCCATGTGCAAACAGAATCCAGGGACTGGAGACGGCAATTGCAGGGTGTATAACATACATTACTTTATTAGCTGATTAACCACAGCCTGGCCATAAAAAGGACAAGGCAGAACCTATGTGTGTATGCGATTAAGGGGCACAGCTGTAGGAGCATCTCAGTCCACTGGCAGCCATGTCGGAAGGGGGTGGGGTTGTCCGCTTCACAAACCTAGAATGAAGAAGTGGTGCACGTCTGCTAGGCGATGCTCTCTGCAGCTGCCTCACAGGCTTTCTGATCAGGGGAACAATGATCGACAAAGTTAGCTCTGACTCACCTGCTTCCCCTCCTCCCCTGTCTGTTCCCCCCTGTTTCTGTAAATGTCTTCAGAGACAGATTGTGAGGGGAGGGAATCATGACCAGTCAGTGCTTGTTTCACCCCTGCGTGTGACTGGCTGCAACAATTTGTGGGGCAGTAATTCATGGAGGTGGTGGTGAACGTCCGTGATCGTCCACCCTATGACATGGTCGAGACCAGACACCCACACTGCGCCTGAGACCAGAGCAGAGGTGACAGGGCTGCTGTACTTTTGCAAAAAAAAAAAAAAGGCGACTGCAAATAAAATGTCTCCCTCACTGAAATCACTCACCGCAGTCAAAGCATACACAGAGGCAACAGACAAGGCACCCAAAGATTGCCTCAATCTGAGTCATAATATGCTCATCGAAAGGAGTGAGATTATACACCCTCTGGAGGAGCCAGTCTGCCCTGAATATTTTCCCTGAGCAACCAGACTAATAATAGGTGTACCCACCTACAGAGATCTGGCCACTCCCTAGTCTGTGTACCTCAGAGAGTGCCACCATTGTGGAGTTTACAAAGCTTCCCTGACAGCAGGGGAAGATGCCTCTAATGGGATTGCAGATTAGCTTTGATATGAGGTTACTAGTGGACAGCCACCCCCGTTTAATATTTTTTAAATTGGAGATATTGTGGCTGACTGCACGTGACCATTTCACCACCACACCAATGGATGGCGCCATCGCGTCTCAGTGGGTGGCTTGGGAGACAGTAGCTCAAGCGTTGGCAGAATTAAACTGCAATCGGCTTGAGCAGCACGTAAAGTTTCGCGTCTCCTTATTGTCACCCACAGATAGGTTGCACTTATTCCTAAGAGGGGTTTGTGTCGGCCAGGCATGATCGTTTGGCAGTGCCGGTGTTCTGGTCGTGTTTGAGCAAAGCGTGAATGCAGTGTTTGATGGTTGGGTGTTTTGTTTGTGTGAACGGTCACGTTAGCGGGTTGACCCGGTTAGCTACCCCCTGTTGGTTGGCAATTTGGCCAGCCGTTCGGATTGTGGACTGTGAAATGTACTTTGTGTGTGTTTTGGTGTTTGGATTTGTGTCTGAGATACATTGTCTACTGGTTTGTGACATTTGTTTTTACATTTGCTTAACATTTGTAAGCATGAATTCGAGTCTTTGGTTGTATTGCTATCTGTTGTGGTGCTGTTTGTTTAAACAGTTTGATATTGGGAATATGTCATGACGTTATTATAATCTGCAGATATTGCAAAAGGGTTTAATATTACATTTTGCCCATGTCATTTACTTTATTGTTGTTGGTGTAATATTGTATATTCTTACCAATTTATGTTTATGTCTAAGTTTATGTCTGGTCCCTATCTACTGCTTGTTAATGGCTGGAATTGTAAAGCATTGGAGTGCTGCATCATTGAATGTTTTATTTAATTGTATTGGTTTGATGTGGCAGAAATAAACTGTGATCGATTTGACCAACACGTAAAGTTTTGCATATCCTTATTGTCACCTACAGTGCTCCTCCACCTGTGGGACCTTGTGCCGGCTCGGATTTCCCCTAGGTAGCAGCCAGTAACACCTCTCTGGATGGATTGCCTCAAATTAGGACCTGAATGCTGCCATGCAGCTGGCGACACCTCGGCATGACACTGGTTCTGATCTCCAACAGGCCTGACTCCATTGGCTCTCCAGTGATTTTGGCTCCTCAGGATGATGCTCTTGAGGGCTTTCCATCATCCCCTTCATGGTGTATGCAGCCTTCCTGTGGGTGGTTGCAGCAGAGCTACTCCTGAGAAGAGCAGAAAAGAGGCCTCTTTTTGGGGTGGCTTGAGTGCCAATTCCACCATCAACCCCCAAATATATTTATGCAAGTTTTGCTTGCAAGGCCAGATGCTGTTTTATGTTTAAATATTTACATCTGCTCAGAAATGTATTTAACCTTAAAAGTCATTATATTCTCTGTTCAGATACTTGCATGTAATCAGTATTTTCTTCAGAATACTATACAGTGGTACCTTGGTTCTCGAACTTAATCCGTTCCGGACTCCAGATCGAATCCTAAAAAGTTCGAGTTCTGATCGAATTTTTCCCATAAGAAATAATGGAAAACCAATTAATTGGTTCCCAGCCCCCCAAAATTACATCTTGTCACAATCCGCTCTGTCCGATCCTGATGTGTGCCACGCCCCCTTCATTACCTCGTGTGAATCCCCGATTGTGATCACCTGTTGCCTGTTGTGTTCAACTTGTCTTGTGCATTTAGTCCGTGTCTCAGTTAGTTTCCCCAGATCCGTCATTGTAGTGTCCGTCTTTCGCCTAATAAACCCCGTTTACCTGACTTCCTGGCTACTCTCGCCTGCTTCCACGGCTCGCCTGCCGTCCGAACGTCCATCCATCCATCCATCCATCATCT